TGCATCGGCAGGCGGACTCGCAACCACTGCGCCACCAGGGAAGCCCCACAAATATCTTTTATTTGTAAAAGAGCTCTTTCAGGTTTTACTTAAAGCCTTTTCTTCCCTTAGAACACAGGCATGAGTGCATAAAAGCTGGGCAAGAACAGCACTGAGAGAAAATACTCTACTCAGGACCACTCTTCCCTTCCAAGCCTGCATAATCTTCTGGTTCAAGTCTGTCATGCTCAATTTCTTCTTATCATTTAGGCTGAGTTCTTTCTGGAGACTCTTCATTAATGTATACAAAACAGATTTCTGGAAGGTCTACTCAAGTTCACAAACTGTCCCAGTTTGGTGTGAATCCCAACAAGGAAAAAAGGTTAGGTTGAAGATGGGACTTCCAGACTAAACGCATTCCCCAATGTTATGTATGTAATATGTATATAACTTGTCACATATATGAATATAACTTGTCACAATTTGGTCTTCTGTTGTTTATACTGTACAAATATATGTTCTTTGATTCTAGCTTGGTGTTGAGCTTGTTAAAGTTCAAATCCATCAGTACAGAATTTCTAGTTGTAAAAATTCCTAAATTAAAAACTACTAAATATGAAAATGAAAATGGCTCTAGAAGCCTAGGGATTTTTTTAATAAAGGAAAAGAAATAGATGTTTAATTCTAAAAATAGATTGCATTAAATCCGTAACAGGACAAATACTCAGTGAATGATCCCATTGAATTTTGTGTGCTGTCTTTCAGCACTTCTGCTATGGCAATGTAAAAGCAGTACAAATGTTTAGGCTGTCTAAATTTTTCAAAGGCTTCCAAAAATTTTTTGAAAATTTACTCTTATGAAGTAGGGTGATCACCAGTTGAGAAGTTTTGATTTTCCCAAGGCTTCAAATTAAAAAATAATTGCCCCATGGCAATATGAGACCATTAAAACCTAAGACAGTTAAAACTAAAAGTACAAACAATGAGCTAGAAAACGATAAAGCTGCTCACTTTTAGCACCTTCAAAGACAAGAATCAGGATACCAGACTAGCAGAAAGAGAAAGACATAAAGAATCAGGTTTCATTACATTCTGCCTCAATGAAGTATGTAAATTCTATCGACATACATGGAAATTTTGTTATATAATATGGCTTAAAAACTTAATTAGTTGAATAAATCAAGAGAGAAACAACGAGAGAAAGCAGAAGATCCAGGTTTTCATCTGTCATTCTATAACTAGCTACATGATTTTGTTGGGTAATTTACTTATTGCTCTGGGGTCTTTTTAAAAAATTCTAAGTTATGGATGGTACTACAAAGGGGCAACATACATGTTGGATATAATGAATAATACAAAACTAAAATATATAAATATTTATTACCTATCATTTTCACCACAAAGTTTCTTGTATTCTGCAGCTACAGTTTCATGGTTTTTGTTTTTAAGCAGCATTTTTTCCTGTTCTACCTTCAGTGTTTTTTCCAAATCTTCCAATTGTCCTTTCTGTTTTAGTAACTGATTGTAACTGGAAAAAAAAGTTATGTATTTGGTTTATAATATTTCCTTAGAAAAAAAGAAAACATTTTAGAAATAAAGGAAACAACAGTAATTTATTAATATGTATCACATAAAACATGTAAATTTATATATATGTCCTACATAAATTATCTCAGACCTGTTTAACATATAAAATTTACTATATTACCCAGTGAAAATTGGTTTTAAGTTAACAACACAAGAAAAGATAATAAATTACCGATCTTCAAGGTCTTTATGTTCCACCTCAAGATTTTTGTGGGCAGACTTTAGAGTTCCATGTTTAGCAATGAGAGACTCATACTCTGAAGCCTGTCGTTCATGCAGAAGTTCCAGCTTTTCATGATCTTTGATCAGAGAATCATAGAGAGATTTCAGGTCTTCTCGTTCTTTGATTACAGATTCATTTTCATTTTCTAAGGAAGACTGCTGGATTAGGAGTTGTGCATTCTGGTTCATGAGTGAGGTACTTTGGGAATTAAGAGTGGAATTTTCAACCTACAAGAATGCATACTGTATTAGACACAAGAAAAATAGCTTATAATGTTCTTTTTTTTATAGTAAAAGACAATGTTAACTTTAGGAAGCACTAAATAAATCCCTGCAGATACATTCATATTATACTGAGAAAATTTGGATTTTAGCACCCTAAAGAATAAAGTTATCATTTAATTTTGATTTTTGGTAGGTGTTACGATATATATTATGAGATACGTATCATATATATGTTTGGGGTTGAATTATTTAATTTAATTAATTTATTTATTTTTGGCAGAGCCGCACGGCTTACGGAATCTTAGTTCCCCGATCAGGGATTGAACCTGGGCCCCCTGCAGTGGAAGCGTGAAGTCCTAACCACTGGACTGCCAGGGAATTTATCTTGAATGAAGGTGATTAGCAACAATTCCATGAAAAAGAACAAAATTTGAAAACACTAGTTTATCATTTTCTAGAAGTTGAGAGTTGATAGAAGTAAAAAATTACTTGTGAATATTCAATTGGTAATTTTCTCAAGTCTAAATTAAATTAGTATTTGCTGTATCATCTGGAAAAGAGTTAGAGAAAGAAGAACATTTAGATTCAGAGGGGGAACTTCTTCACTGCTTTTTAAGAGGTTTCAGAGAGTTGCACTTTCCCCCACTTGACTGTTCTATTTGAAAAGACACTGGTAGTGTTAAGTGCAAGATGGATCATTTGAATTAAGGATAAGTCCAAAGACAAAATTCTCATGCTGTGTTGTTTTCCAGTAACTTAACTAATAGATATGCTGCAATCATACTCTAAAACAAGGGTTTCTACCTGATTAATTATTAGCAGCTTGATGAAATGGGTAAAAGGCCATAAAGTCAATAAAAATAAAATTATCTTTATTTGATGAGTAAATTTATTACTTAATTTAGAGGCTCTGACATTTAAAAAATGCTGATATCCGAAAATTTGGCAAAGCACATATAGAAATACTTTATCTTCAACTAATTGTTAAATTCTCTCTCTAGGAAACAATGTTACCATGTCTAGTCATCCTTATTTTAATAGCATAATAGCATAATTCAAGAGTTTTGTTGCATATCCCGATAATTTTACATTACAACCTGAAGCTTGGCATTCTGTGTTTGAAGAGTGGTATTCTGCTCCTGTAATGATACTGTCTGCCTCTGAAGTGCAAGAATCTGAGCCTGCAAATTATTGTTCTGTGTCTCAAGTTGCTTCAGTTGAGTTTTCAATGCTTGCTTCTCTGCTTGTAGTGTAGCATTCTGAATAAAGAAAACACATATTAAAAAAAAAGCAGCATCAAACATATTTCTGTTTAACAAATACTAGAATGTTATACAAGTGTTTATTACCATTATAATCCAAAAAAATCTCAACAATCTTAAAAGAGAAAAAGACAAAACACTTCCCCTCTATCCCAAACTGTAAAAAGATATTTAAGGAAAAGAAAGCAATACTAAAACCTTAATATACTATTGTGTCTGTGCTCTGCCTGCTTTATAATGTCCAACAAATAACATATTCCATTATACATATATTTATTAACACAAAAAACTAGAATGGGGTTGTCAGTTCAATGGTTTTCATGCTGTTCAAAAGTGCCTGGAGTGCATGGGGCTATGTCTAGCCAATGGAGTGTACCTTTTCAAATTGCCCAAAGGCAAATATATATATATATATATATATATATATATATATATATACACACATACATACATACATACATACACACACACACAGATGTGCGCATGTGCATGCACATGTGCGCACACTCACACATACACACACACACACGTGGTGGTCCCAAGGGTAGCAGCAAAACTAAGTATTTTATAAACACAAATATTTGGAAGAGAAGCAGGAACAATCTAAGCCATCTGTTTAAAAAATTTAGTCCATAATAGACCTAACAGATGTTACGTATTTTCTTTAGTGTTTTCTTTCATGGCATAAAACACTCACTAAAACTCCATTTCAACTATAGGACTTTGGGAGCATATCCAAACAAAACATACTATTTTCAACTTTTCCAATACATATGGCCACATTTCAATTTTATAGTTAAACAGCTGAATTACTATGTAAATCATTATATTTAATGTGATAGATAATAAAATGTTTGTTATCGATATTACATTTTCAAGATCATTTCTAAATAAAAATTAGCATCAAAAAGTATAAACAAAGAATCCTTTAGAAAACCAAAACGAAACTTTAATGTACAAGGCCAGAATCTGTATAATTGCAACATGCAAAAAAAGTTACAACTGAATCACAACAGATCATATTTATCATATCTACCTATGGGACAAAGACAACATTCACTTTATAGGCCTTCAAGTTATATATACTACATATCACTGCATAAAAGGCAAGTCATGATTTGACCCATGTATTATACCATAAAATCAAAGCTGAGGAAGAAAAATGCTTTAAAAATGGGTGTTGATATTGTACTTGTGTTTTGTTCATTTGATCACATAAAAAGGATGAAAAAAATTTACACTGGAAAATAATATGGAATAATGATGTACTTGTATACCATTTTGATACACCAAAGAGGTGAACCATTTTTCACCTACACATGTTAACTACTATTATAGGTCAGCTCTTTAGAAACCAAAATGTACAAACTCTAATGATAAGTCTGGGTATTCCCTAAGAATAAGAAAAATTCCTACAGTCTATAATGAATAGAAAAGATAACTGAGAGTAGATAAGATATCTCAGAACAGGAAAAAGTTTACAATGGAAAAGTACAAAGTTAACAATATATGTACTAGCAAATGCACAAAAATTACCAGTCTAATATAGGGTAGACATCTTTATAAACCCATCATCTAAAATGGCTAAACTATGACAACCAGGTAAATTTTTCCCCCAATGGAAATTTATAGAAGAAGTCAATGGAAAAAGAGATTTATCTTATACATTACACACCAAATTTTCTGAAATGTAACTATTAATCCAAGTGATTGATCTATACATATATATCACTGAACAATGAAACACAGGTATTCATATATGGCTGATTAAAAAGACATAAAATAGCTCGCTAATAATATAAAACACACAAAATATTTTCTCCTATCATTTCAATAAAAATTAAAGGGCTGGTAATATCCAATGTTAATCTGAAAAAATAGGTATTCTGTTAGTGGGATTGAAAATTGATATTTCTGAAAAGCTCATATGATTATATCAATTAAAATTAAAAAGCAGAAACTAACACAGCATTGTAAAGCAATTATACTCCAATAAAGATGTTAAAAAAAAATTAAACACACACACATACACACCGAAATATGTGTGTATATATATATATATATATATATATATATATATATGCTCTTTGTCCTATCAATTCTACTGAAAGGAATTTATTACCCTATGAACATGTTATATATGGATTTTCATTGCAGCAAAATCTGAAAATAAATGTCCACTGATGTGGGATTTATTTAAATTATGGTAACATACACGCAGAAAACAGAAGCAAACAGAAAAGCCCTGAGATAGGAACAAATAGAAAAGGCCAATATGACTACAATTAATTTACTTATTATGTGCCAGTCACTGTTCCATGTTTTCCACATATTAACAGATAATAATAATATTATCCCCTGATTAATAAGAATGGTTGGTGGAAGAATAATATGGTATAAGGTCAGAGATACAGGCAGGGCAATATCAAAAAGGATCTTACAGATACAGTAAAGAATATGGATTTTATTATAAATGAAATGGGAAGCCACTGAAGATTTTATGTAGGAAAATGACATGACCTGGATTATGTTTTAAAAATAACTCTAGGTTACTACATTAAGAATGGGTTAGGGCTTCCCTGGTGGCGCAGTGGTTGAGAGTCCGCCTGCTGATGCAGGGGACACGGGTTCGTGCCCCAGTCTGGGAAGATCCCACATGCCGTGGAGTGGCTGGGCCCGTGAGCCATGGCTGCTGAGCCTGCACGTCCGGAGCCTGTGCTCCGCAACGGGAGAGGCCACAACAGTGAGAGGCCCGCGAACCGCAAAAAAAAAAAACAAACAAAAAAGAATGGGTTAGTTTGGGAGTGAAAGGGGCAAGCCGGTTAGGAGGATACTCTAATAGTCCAGATGAGAGATAATGGTACCTTAGACTAGAGTGGTAGCAGCAGAGATGAAGAGAAGTAGATGAGTTTGGGTTATATTTACAAGACAGAGTTGACAAAGCTTGCTGATAGACTTACATGAGGGTGACGAAGAAAAGAATATTAAATTATTAGTTTTTCTGTGTTTTTTTAATATTAAAAAATAAACCAGTCAAGAAAGTATAAAATGAACAAAGCTACAAATTAGATAAATTTTCTGAGTTATATATTCAATGATCCTTTACTTCTAAAAAACCTTATTCATACTAAACTACTTACATTTCTTTCAACTTCAATTAATCTGTCTTTAACTTTCAGAAGCTCTCTGGTTGTTTCTTGACTTTCTCGCTCCCATTTGTTATCTTCACCAGAAACTGGAGGAGAGCTCTGTACCATCTTTTCCTCATCTTGTCTCTGCTTGAGAGCTTCATAATTCTTTTTCACCTAAAATTTTATTTAAAATATTTTTTAAAATTGAAGTATAGTTGATTTATAATATTGTTTTAGTTTATTTAAAATATTTTAATGGGGAAAAAACATACCACCAAGGTTATAATATTTATCATAATTTAGCTTGACTCCACAATGGTCTGGTGAATGTGAGAGACAGTTCATTTAAAAATATGATAAGTAATAATATATGATTATCATTATTATGACCACAATTTATGCTTTGCAAAATTCAAATCCTTTCCTGTAGAAATATTAAATATACTCTGCTTATATGCCATGTTCCTACAATATATTTTGTAATTTCAGATCCTACTGTTTATGACGAAAATATCACTGAAGGATAGATTAACTGGATATAGACATGTTGCTAGATACTAACAATGGTTTTTAGAGCTATTTATAGCTGATTTAGAGATTTCAGAGATTCCCATATCAGGAACAAATAAAGACTTGACACATATATTAATTCCCCGTAAAAAGATACCTAAAGTTGAAGAAGTATCTATATATGTCTGGCCTTTTAAGAAGGATTTTGTTGCTCAGAATGACCTATGTTAATAAGTAAATGACTTCTTTATTCAGATACTGACCCACATAAAATTTCTGTAATTCATTTTTATGAAGAGTGAGCAGTCCAAGGATATATCTTATCTAGGGTTTTCTGGTTTTCTGGTATAACCAAATCCTACTTTAAGAGAGCAAAATCAAAACTAAAACCTTGGGGACTTCCCTGGTGGTGCAGTGGTTAAGAATCCACCTGCCAATGCAGGGGATACGGGTTTGAGCCCTGATCCGGGAAGATCCCACAAGCCGCGGAGCAACTAAACCTGTGTGCCACACTACTGAAGCCTGCAGGCTCTAGGGGCCGCGTGCCACAACTACTGAGCCCACGTGCTGCAACTACTGAAGCCCGCGTGCCTCAAGCCCATGCTCCGCAACCAGAAACCACCACAATGAGAAGCCCATGCACCACAACGAAGACTAGCCCCCGCTCGCCACAACTAGAGAAAGCCTACGCGCAGCAACGAAGACCCAATGCAGCCAAAAACAACAAAAAAACTAACAACTTGATAACCAGCCAAAATTAACTATTAACTTATTAACTTAATTGCTGTCTTCAATTTAAATTGATGATTATACTTATCCTGAATTACTAGTTTATCCTAGGAAATGATTATCATAAATATCTAAATTAACCCCAAACTTTCTATTGAGACAAGGATATAAATGTTTAAAATAATTCAATGTCTGATGCAACCTTAAGAAAGCTTATGGCTCAAACTTTGCTACTACTACTGAGTTAGAAAATAATGATGTGAGACTAAAGAAAAAAGGATGCCAAGGTAGAATGTAATTTCAACCTTGGCAAGTGACCTAACAGGTGTTCTGGGATCCTGATTTTCCACTTTTTTTTTTTTTTAATACTTTCAACACCCTAATAACATGGATGGATGACATCATTTCCAGTCTCCTATTTTACATTAATTTCCCACAGGATCTTTTTTCTAGGCTTATAAGAGTTAAAGATATATGTCATTTTTAAGAAGGGGACCTGAGAATAAAACTCAAAACTTCTCATTTTTAGCCCATTGTTCTTACAACTAAGTTTCAAAAATGGTTCCTTTACCTTATGTATCATTAATCAGAATCTCTAACTTATGTTCATATAGAAAATGACATATTTTCCATCAAGGTTTCTCAAGAGGCAGCAAATAGGTGCCTTTTTATCTAATTTATTACTCTCTGCCTTTTAATTGGGGATGTTTAGACTATTTATATTTAATGTGATTACTGACATGCTTTGGTTTCAAACTGCTATCTTGTTACTTGTTTTCCATTTGTCCAACCTGTACCTTGTTCTCCCTTTTTTCTTTTTCTGCCTTCATTAGTATTTTTTGATTCTAATTTTATCTCCTTTGCTGGCATTTTAGTAATACTGCTTTGTCATACTATTTTAGCAGTTATTTTATGCCTATTATTCATATTTAGCTTTCACAGTCTATGTTCAAGTGATACACCTCTTCATGTATAATATTAATTAGAACAGTATAATTCCAGTTGAATACATGTTTATGGCAGGAAGCTAGTCCAATAATAGTCCAATTATGCCAAAATGGCTGGAACTGGAAGATAATGATGGAATTTTAAATCTCTACCTTTTAGACTTGAAATACATCTTATACTAACCCATCCTCAAACCCATTTATTTTGTGGCGTAGTAGCTTCATGAAATTGACTTTATTTGCAATGTAGTCACATTGTTTGCAATGTAGTCACATTATTTGCAATGTAGTCACATTGCTTAACAGGGCAAAAAATTTGGAAAATAAAGCAGATTAATGGCATCCGGCACCAAGTTTTATTTTATTTTTTTGGACAACTCTTTATGTTAACTAAACAAAGTTCCAGAATTTCTTCTGCAACAAAATATGTTTCATGTTAATGTCTGAGACAAACACCAGCAATGATGGCATTGGCAAATGAGGAACAAATCCTTTTCCCCTTCCTGCATGAGAAATTCATCTTTGGGTAACTGTTTCTCTGGAAACCTGATAAAATTGGAATGTTCTATGTTACCAGGCAAGACTGCTTAGGGGAAAAATGATCTCTGATTGCTAAATTATATTTGTAATTAAGAGAACTATAAATACCTAATAGGCAGCTATACCTTTGAACTTCTCTGAGTGCAGCAACTCTTAAATCTTAAGCCTGTGAAGATCTTAAATCCATGCCTTGGAGTTGTTGCAAGAGATGATGACTGCTATAAAGCATGAAGTCTCAAAGCCAGGGCAGCTCCCACACACAACCAACAGTCATCTGGCGAGAAGATGACTCTCAGACAATTATGTGAAGATGGACACCTGATAGTGCCCTACCATCAGCTTATATTTCCTATAGTGTTCTGAATCATATGGCTCTAAATGTGGCCTATAGTAAACTTGCTGGTCTGAATGTTTGGTTGACTGTAAAACCATTCTGGGTATGACTACAGAGCTGATAAAAGGGAGAATAAGGCACAACACGATTCTACCAATCTACCATACACTAACCCTATGGAAAGGGCAAGCCCCTTCAATTTCAGTTTATTCAGGTGGGGAAAATAGTAGCCCCTGCCTCACATACTTCACTGAATAATTCCAAATATCACAAGAAAACAAATTTAGAAAAGACCTCAAATTTTTGGATCAAGTGCTTTCTTATACCACACATACTATTTCCCTCTACTTGCTATCCTCACACCCATATCTTTGTCTACCAAACTTTTACCTGGATTCTCAATAGGAAAAGAGTGCCCGTGAAGTGTCAGAATCACAGAGAGTTCTTCCCAATGAAATAAGCCTGCCTCTTCCCCATCCCACTCTCACAATTCTGATATGTCCCTTACTGCATGAGGGACATTCATAGATGAAATAGGATTGAATAAATTATAGTGTATAGACAAAATAGTTTGTTACAAACTACATGACAAAGATCTGTTTAAGAATATTCTAAAGTTTAAGAAAAAGGAAGAATAGGCAAAATGTTAATAAAATTGTTTCATTTTTATTTTCTACTTTACACTTTTCTGTCCAAATATTTGGCAGTTAGGGAGTTCCCTGGTGGTCCAGTGATTAGGACTCGGTGCTTTCACTGCTAGGGCCTAGGTTCAATCCAGAATCAATCCCTGGTCAGAGAACTAAGATCCTGCAAGCTGTGCAGTGGGGCCAAAAAAGAAAAAAAAAAAAAAAAAAAAGACAATTAAAATTCCTTCCAAGGAAGTCACACTTACTGTTTTAAGTTCTTGGCGCAACTGCTGGTTATAATTTGTGGACTCTTCTAATCGAGCTTCTAATGCAGCGATTTTTTCTTCTTTTATTTCAAGGGACTTCTTTAGAGTAGATTCTAATTTTGATTCCAAAAGTTTGTATCTATAATCCAAGTATAAAAATAATATAGCTCATTATTGGAGGTCAGAAAATTATTTTTAAAGATAATTTATGACCACAGATACTGATATTATAAATAGACTTTATAAAATAGTCTTTTTAAAAAAGAAGCAAATTAAATTATCCTGCTCTTACTGCCCACTCCCCCTTTTAAACTATTCCTGGTAATGAAAAAACAAAAAATCACTGAGTAAATCAGTAAATCACAGCTCCAAATTACATTTTAGGCTGTCAAAAGCAAAAATTAGTACTCAAAAAAGGCATCTGGAAGATCTGAGTCTCAAAATATTCCTTTCAGTTTAATAAGAATAGAATCTATACAAAGAGTAAGTGGATGGATTTATCACATTATTAAGCATTCATCTATGATATTAATATGTAATGTATTTATACAAGTACATATGAATAGTTGACTTAAAGCTCACTGAAGACTTTACATTCAGGGCATAGAGTACTTGCAGAATATTAAAAAAAAAAGGAATGATATGTTAAGACACAAGATACTGGTGACAGAACAGGAAGAGGAAGATAGATCTGAGTGTCAAAATTTTAGTTATCTTTTTGAATGGTGGGTTCATGAATATTTATATTATTCGTAAGATTTTTTTTTTTTTTTTTAAACAAAAAGGGAAGTTCATGAACACACGAGAGTGAACCACAGACTAGGAATTACGGATTAATCTATTTCTACACCTGAGAACCTCAATGACTAAACCAAATAAAAACCTAAAGTACAAATATGAGAAACTTTTATCATACTCTGCCTCTTACTGTAATTAATTTGTGTGTATGTATTTTCTGCTCAGCCAGATTTTAAGTTCATTGAGAAAAGAGAACAAATCTCACTCATTTTGATATTGGCTTGAGTCAACAAACAATTTTAAAGCATGTAATGAGTTTGACTTTGGATTTATTAAATTTGTGATGCCTGAGTTCTGGACTGTCCAGATAGAGATGTCCAGTAAGCAGAGAATAATATGGGTATTAGCTGAGATGATGGACAGGAATGCTCATGGAATGGATAAGAGGCTTAACAACATAACCCTAGGAAACCATATTTAAAGAGAAGGCACAGGAAAAAGAGCTGTTAAAAGAGAAAGACAAGAGTGATCACACTGCACTCTGTTTGCAATTCCACCACTACATTTACTTTGTTGCACTCTATCTATTTATACCTTCAATTCTACAATTAGACTGTATATTCCTTGATGGCAAGAATAAATATCTTAATAATCAAGGGGGGTCAGAGAGAACAACATCAGTTGAAAGACGAAAAGGTTAGACTAACAAAAGAATTAGGGATACCATCTGAGATTAGAGGTAAACACAGATGCAGATACACGTAATTCCAAGATGGAGGAGATGGAATGTTAAGGGAATTTATGTCTGTGAACTCTAATTTTCTTTGTGATGTTAAGGTTAACTTACTTGCTGAGAAAGAAGCAGGTTTAGTGGCTTAAGACACTTCGTTTCCTGATCCCCCCGATTCGATCATAGTTATTAACTGTTCTCAATTCCCTTTCCTAAAAGTTTTATTTCAATATACATACCCTTATCTCCATATCTAATGCTTTCATTATAAATGAAAATGTGTGGATTAATGAATACACTTACATCTTGCCTAGACTATTACAATAGCTTCCTAAATGGTCTCTGTACCTTCAAATTTGTCCCTTTTCTAATCCATCTATAATGTCACTCAGGATTGCTCAAAACACCTTTGTGCTTTATTTGCATGGAATGCCTTTCCCCATTTCCACCTTGCAAATTTCTGTCATTCTTCAAGATCCAGCTGAAACATTATTATTTATTTGATGCCTGATAATCAGCAGGTAATAAATGCTTAATTAACATTAATTAATTGTATGAAGTAAGGTTTGGGAAGAGATACCACAGTGTGAAGGGCCCCTCAAAAGCTGGGTTTGTAAATTTAAAACAGGGTCAGTTAAGGCAGCTGTGTGGTTTACTGTACTTTTTGCTCTACATTTAAAATGTCTTACACATGACAGGTAGAAAATCTGTCTGAATAAAGCAGAGATGCATATTCAGTATCTATATTAAAAGATAGTCAACTAAATTGTCCATTAACAATGTGTTTAACTCAAAAAATATTTTCTCATGAAATATCTATATAGTAATTAATTCAATTAAGATTGCTTGAACTGATTGCTAGAATAAATGCCTCACATTACCTCTGTTTGTTATTATAGAACTAACTTTTAAAAGTATCAATCTATTCTATTAACTTTGAATATTCTCAAAATTACATAAATAAATCCCATATAATCAGCATTAAGTTTTCCTATATACATTTAATATAAAATATACTTACTAGAACAGTAATAATGGGTAGATAGCAAAAATACAAATTATATAGTTACAAAAATTCCAATGAATTAAAATCTAGTGTACAAAAAACAATATTCTTAACAATACACACTTCTATTCTAGCTGGAATCACATGGCTAACTAGATGCCAAATAGTAGACTACTTGAAAATCCCATTAACTGATAGACTATATTTACCATGGTAAATTCTCTTTAAACCTCTTGAACATTCTCAAATTAAAATATATAAGTTAATTTTTTATTCTGTTTGTCAAGCCTTCGTTTTTCACATTATTTTCATACCTTAATTGCTTCTCAGTCTCAAAATTAATGCTTGAAAAACAAAAAAATTATTTCCACTGTTTCTCAGATAGACTTAGTACTCACCTGTCATCAGTACTCTGCTCATCATGTAAGAGTCGCTCTTTATTTAACCCTATCTTCTCAAGCTCATGAGTTAATTTTTCAAGATCATTATTCATTTGTTGAGTCTTCAGTTTTTCACTCACCAAATCCTTATTTTAAAAGTAATGCAAAACTCACATGAGTGTTATGAACATAAACATCCAAGAAATTCAGCCAAGATTCCAACTACCACCATCCAGGAATACATACAATTTAAAACAGGAAAGACAGAAATGCTGTTGCTGAGCTTTTCCTTCATCAATAAAAAAGAGTTAGGCAACAAAATTATCACCTAGTTCAAAGAGTATTGTTTTCCTTCTTTTAGTTTGCTAATAGTTCGTTTTAACTTTTTAGTGTTTAGAAACTAAAAGGAGAAACTTGTACTTGTGATTACACACCTTAGGCTTGAAAACTGTGGGGAAAACAACACATATCCATTAACTTAATAATGAACTAGAACCTTATTGCACATTTCTTCCTATGAATATATGTTGGATATAACACCCTTCTCCCACCACAAGCACCCCTCTCCCAGTGGAAGAGGCCTAAGATATTGAACTGAATAACTAGGGGGAATTCTTAAGAGATGGGACCAGGAACCTATTGTTCATGTCTGTAAGACTGTAGAACAACAGAAAGTAAAAAAAAAAAAAAGGATAATAATGGTCTCTTCTCAATGCCTCTTTAGCAGAAAGGCATATTTCCCAATGTGAGCTTCTGCCAGAATGCCAACTAAGATATTTTTCAATTGAACTTAAAGGGTTATCATATATAGTATAGCACAGGGATAGCAAGTAAGAGCCAAGCATGCTATCTCCTGAGCTATACCAACAATTTATTGCCAATCTACTCATAAATTTCAGAATTCTTCTCAACACACAGATCCAACCAACTACCAATTGTTCAATGTTGACCTTTAAATTCAATCTGATTTGCATTCTGTAGCTTAGAAGTCAAAATTCAAGGGGCTTTGAAGTCTGAAAGATCTGGATTTAAATCCAGGAATCCAAATCTACCATTGTGGTCTTAAGTAAGTTACTTAATGTCTCTGAACCTCAGTTTTCTAATCTAATGGAGATAACACCTATAAAGGATTGGCTGTAAAAACTGTACAGTATTTGGCACATTCAATAATTAGTAGCTATCACATTCAGTAACAGTTTTGATCAAAGGTTTTAATATTACTCTGAAATAAAAGTATAAAATTATAATGTAATAAATAAGTCAGATAACACATGGAAACCTTATTATTACAATTTCTTTAAAAATACAATTTATATTTACTCCTTAGTTTAACAAAAGTAGGAAACTTGGAAACTGCTTCTAATTCTAAATTTCTGCTTTGAACCATAAATAGATGATGCAAATTACTGCAATAAAAGTTAAAGAGCCCTGAGTTAAAAATATAAAAAATATTTGTCTGAAATTTAAGTAACTATATTTACCTCTCGTAATGTGACTAAAGTTTTTATATCAATAGTTGCTCTTTTCACAAGCTCCTTATTTTCTTTCTCTAATTCTTTCAGACGAATGCAGGATTCTTTATAAATACCAATCTCTTTGAAAAGGGTTTTGTTTTCTTTTTCCAAATTTCCAATTTTCACATTATTTTCTTCTAATGTGGTATCTTTTATTTCTGCTTGTTGTCGGAGTCTCTTATTTTCCTTCTCCAGTTGTTTCTTATCCTTTTCCAGTTGAGAAGTCTCTTGTTCTAATGATTTGTTTTCTTTTTCTAGCTGTTCTAGTCTTTTGCTAGATATTTTTAACTCTTCTAGGTTTTTTTGCAATGTTTGATTTTCCATCTCTAAGTCTTGTAGTTCACTTTCCAACTGCTGAATTTTTTTATTGCTGTTTTCTAGAGCTTTCTGTAGCCTTTGATTTTCTGTATCTAAACCCTGGTAGCTAACCTCTAAGCGTTCTGTTTTCTTGAAAGATGCTTTCATGAGCTCTAAACCTTTCTTAAGTTGTTCTTTTTCACTTTCCAGTTCTTTGTTTTCTAGTTGTAGCTGAGCCATTTTCATGCTTGCACACTTTAAAGATTCTACATTCCTTCGCAGTTCTAAGTTTTCCTCATCAAGCTGGGAATTCTCTTTCTCTAGGGATTCTAACTGAAAAGTAAGGTTTTTAAAGCTATCCAATGTTTTTTTATATTTCCTATTTTCTCTTTCTAGCTCTGAATTTTCTTGTTCTAAGGCCTCAATTTTTTCACAAGTAATTTTTAAATTGGTTATCTTTTTCTGTAACAATTCATTTTCTTTTTCAAGATGATGTAACTCATTTTCAAGTTCTTCTGCTCGTTCTCCTTTTTCTTTATAATGTTCCAATTCTTTTCTGATTTGCCTTTTTTCAAATTCAATCTTGCTTAGCTTGCTACTGGTTTCCTTGATAGATTCATGGAGAATTTTATTTTCTTTTTCAATGTCTTTCACCCTTGCTTCAGCACTTATCTGGGAGCGCTGCCTTAAGGAGGACACAGTTTGATTCAGATGTTCATTTTCCTGTTCCAATATTTTAATCTAATTAAAAAAAAAAGAAAGGAGAAAATTTAAAACTTAACTGAACATGAACTAAATATTTTAACTTACATAGTTTTCCCCCCTCCAAAAACTAACAGGGAAATCACACCATAAAAAAGTGCTAAGGGGGCTTCCCTGGTGGCGCAGTGGTTGAGAATCTGCCTGCTAATGCAGGGGACACGGGTTCGAGCCCTGGCCTGGGAGGATCCCACATGCCGCGGAGCAACTAGGCCCGTGAGCCACAACTACTGAGCCTGCGCGTCTGGAGCCTGTGGTCTGCAACAAGAGAGGCCGCGATAGTGAGAGGCCCGCGCACCGCGATGGCAACGGGAGGGGCCACACCAGTGAGAGGCCCATGTACCGCAAAAAAAAAAAAAAAAAAAAAAGTGCTAAGGGCTTCCCTGGTGGCGCAGTGGTTGGGAGTCCATCTGCCGATGAGGGGGACGCGGGTTCATGCCCCGGTCTGGCAAGATGCCGGAGTGGCTGGGTCTGTGAGCCATGGCCGCTAGGCCTGCACATCCGGAGCCTGTGCTCCGCAACGGGAGAGGCCACAACAATGAGAGGCCCGCATACCACAAAAAAAAAAAAAAAAAAAAGGTGCTAAAACCGTCTACCTTAATTTTAATTCCAACAAATATTTACTGAGAGATCACCATGTACATATACTGACAAGTCTTTAAAGTTCACATCTTTAGGGAATCCATAATGTAAAGGAATGGTTAAAAGAAATGTATTGAATATTAATCAAAATGATCTTCAGATCATTTATGGTTACATGATTTAAATTCAAATATGAGTATAGGTGAAATGTACATACATATCTTCTTGAAGATACAAGCTTTTACATTCATTCAATAGATTTTGCAATGCATATACACAGTGAGTCCTCAGTAAATATACTATTTGCTCTATGTGCATGTATATTGGTGTGTATTTGTGGGTATTTATTCCCTAAAAGAATTCTAATTTTGAAACATCAAAATAACAAAATCTCTGGTACATTTTAAAACTAGTCCATCCAATTTATACCATGGCCTACTGTAATGGTTCTTAAAATTCGGTGTGTAAAACAATCCCGAGAACCTTGTAAAAGTAGAGATTCATACTTAGCTCTAGAATTTTTCTTCTGTAGCTCTATGGAAATCTGTATTTTTATAGGTGGCCTGAGGACTATACCTAGATAATACAAAACAAATCATTTGACTGCTTTTTTTTTTTTTTCCTTTTTGGCCACACCGTACAGCATGCAGGGTGTGGGATCTCAGTTCCCTGACCAGGGATCAAACCCATGACCCCTGCAGTGTAAGCGCAAAGTCCTAACCACTGGACTGTCAGGTAAGTCCCCATTTTACTTCTAAAAATTAGAAAATTTAAAACAGCCAGTCACTTAATCTATTCAATTCTCAGTTTCCTCAAGCATAAAATGAGAATAACCAATAAACACTTGAAAGCAAGTACAAAAATATCCAAGATATGTGCTGCGACCACTTGTCCCTCCTTAGTGGGATCAGAGTAGAGCTGCATTTCACCCCAACTTCATTTAGGGACTTTAAAATCCGCAGTTCTATTCCACTGACACTTGAAAGCAATTCAAACACAGGTACCACAAAATTTTATACCAGATAATTATTAAGCACACTGGCAATTTGAAAAATTCTAAGCTTTCCCTTCAACTTTCCTAAAATGTATGGGATAGAAAATGAGGTAAAACCATAGTTATGTTAAAACCTAAAAAATTCTAAAATATTTCCATTTAACGTTATTATGAACATTTTGCACAAGCTTTAAAATAACTTGTGTTAATAAATTTTAAAATATGTTGCTTAATAGGAAATTTAAGAACCTGTCTCTCTGAATTTTCTCTAAGTGTTTCAATTGTTTTTTCAAGCTGAGCTTTCTCCTTCATTAGATCCTTGCTTAAATTCTGACAGTTCTGAAGACTTTGCTTTTCTTGAATAATCTCATTTTCAAGAATTTCAACCTGGAGAAAATGAAGCCACAAAACAATATATCATTAAATATTTCACAATAGTGGAAACATGTAAAAACAAAAGCTAATCATTGAATAAAGGATAGAACACAGTTTTAATATTCAAATGGTAAAATTTAAGAATTTCATAGAAAAATTCAAGTATTGATAACATTCCAAGCTAATTTTAGCAGTATAAAATGTACAGAACATGACTATCTTTCTTATCCTCTGCATCTTTGAGAGCAAAGTTCTACTTCTAAACACAAACATAACTAAATACATACACACATGCCATATGAAGAATGTACAAATCTTATTGAAAACTCTCTTGGCTTGAATGGATTTGTAAAGTGAAATTTTAATTAGTCAAGGAATTTCAGCGCTCAAGAAGGAAAAGATGAGAAAATGAGGAAACAAGAAGGGACTTGGATTAAAATAAAAAGAAAAGAGAAAGAAAAAAGGAGACTACTAGAGAAAAATAAGGTCTGAACAAAACTCCAGCAAATACTTAAATTATATGTTTAAATTTATTATGAATTACACATTTTAAAGATATAATAAAGTATGAGGTTAATAAATATGAAAAAGCAAATTCAACTTCAAAATATACCAAACTATTGATTTCCCATTATATAACATATTGAAACCAGGTAATAAAAAATATAAAGAAGATTTGGGTATGTAAAATACTCCACTTCAAGTTTAAATATTACTTAAATCCTTATATTAATAGTAAGGAACTCTAAGAAGTAATATCTCAAAAGCATCAAGTCACAAATCTAATCCAATAACTCAATTCAACATTAATTTATACAATCAGGAAACTTTAAGCTATTAATAACTTATCTGGTTCTCCCATTATTGATTGAAATATATGGATAGTAGTTATTTAATTAAATGCATCTGTTGTGTTATGGAATTCAAGTGAAACATTCAGCTTACAAAAGATATACAATGAACTGATCAAAAATTGCTGGAATCATAAGAATTTACTAATTAGACTTTAAAGCTAATTTCAAAATCAAATTTCCAGATCCAATTATAGTGACAAAAAAAATAAAACTGTTCCAAATTCTAAATGGCCACTCTTACTTTAACACTATATTTATTGTGAAATACTTATTAAGATTATTTGGTTAATGAACTAAAGATGATGCAAAAACATTTTAAGAGAATAAAAATCTTGCAAGAAAATCAAGGAGTCTAGTCTATCTGCATTATCAAAGGCAATAGTTCTCAAGGCATGGCTCCAAAACAGCAGGATGAGCATCCCCTAGGAACTTGTTGGAAATGAGAATTCTTAGCCCCCACCCCAGACCTACCAAATGAAAAGCCCTGGGCATAGAGCTCAGCAATCTGTAACTTAACAATTCCTGAAAGTGATTCGGAGGCATACCTGTTCAAAACTACTGGTCTAAAAATTAGAGGGATTTTCCTAACCGAGTCTAGAAACCCAGGATCCATCGAAGGAAAAACTAGACATGGCTGACTACAAATGGAAATAAAAATTAATTCATAAGGACACATGTATAAGAATATTTATTACAGTATTGTTCACAGTGACCAAGAACTGGAAACAAAAGTGAAAGCACATTTTAGAGAGTATATATGATGGGAGGGGTTCATGATAAAAATATCAGGTATGTTTTTATAATATGATTTCTATTTATGTATTGTGTGTGTGTGTGTGTGTGTGTGTGTGTGTGTGTGTGTGTGTAGGCAGAAAGATATGCAAAAATAAATTACTTGGTCTAACTGTCCCACAATTGGAAAATAGAATATCTCAGAGATATTGCAGGTTTGGATCCAGACCACTGCAATAAAGCAAATACCGCAATTAAATGAGTCACATGAGGGCTTCCCTGGTGGCACAGTGGTTGAGAGTCCACCTGCTGATAAAGAGGACACGGGTTCGTGCCCCGGTCCGGGAAGATCCCACATGCCGCGGAGCAGCTGGGCCTGTGAGCCATGGCCGCTGAGCCTGTGCGTCCGGAGCCCGTGCTCCGCAGAGGGAGAGGCCACAACAGTGAGAGGCCCGCGTACCGCAAAAAAAAAAAAAAAAAAAAAAAAAAAGAGTCACATGAATTTTACGGTTTCCCAGTGCATATAAAAGCTGTGTTTACACTACACTGTAGTTTATTAAGTGTGCAATAGCATTATGTCTAAAAAAACAATGTACACACCTTCAAATACTTTACTGCTAAAAATGTTAACCATCATCTGAGCCTTCAGCAAATCATAATCTTTTTGCTGGTGGAGGGTCTTGCCTTGTGGTTGATGGTTGCTGACTGACCAGTGTAGTAGTTGCTGAAGGTTGGGGTGACTATGCAATTTCTTATGCGTTGATTGACTCTTCCTTTCATGAATGATTTTTCTGTAGCATGCAATGCCATTTAACAGCATCAGAATATTTTTCAAAATTGGAGTCACTTCTCTTAAACATTGCCACTGCTTTATCAACTTTATGTAATATTCTAAGTTCTTTGTTATCATTTCAACTATCTTCACAGCATCTTCACCAGTAGATTCCATCTCAAGAAACCACTTTCTTTGCTAACACATAAGAAGCAACTCCTAATCCATTAAAGTTCTATCATGAGTGCAGCAATTCAGTCACATCTTCAGGCTCCATTTCTGATTCTGGTTCTCTTGCTATTTCCTCCACATCTGCAAAACTTCCTCCACTGAAGTCCTGAACCCGTCCAAGTCATCCATGACGGTCAGAATCAACTTCTTTCAAACTCCTATTAATGTTGTTACTTTGACCTTTTCCCATGAATCGCGAATGTTCTTAATGGCATCTAGAATGGTGGATCCTTTCCAGAATGTTTTCAATTGACTTTGCCCAGATCCATCAGAGGAATCACCTTCTATGGCACCTATAGCCTTACAAAATATATTTCTTAAAGAATAAGACTTGAAAGTCGAACTTACTCCTTGATCCATGGGCTGCAGAATGGATGTTGTCTTAGTGGGCATGAAAACATGAATCTCATTTTAAGTCTACACCAGAGCTCTTAGGTGACCAGGTGCATTGTCAATGATCAGCAGTATTTTGAAAGAAATTTTTGTTTGAGCAGTAAGGTCTCAAAAGTGGGCTTAGAATAGTCAGTAAATCATATTATAAACAGATGTGCTGTCACCCAGGCTTTGTTGTTCCACTGAGAGAGCACAGGGAAAGTAGATTAAGCAGAATTCTTAAGGGCCCTAGGATTTTTGGAATGGTAAATGAGCACTGACTTCAATTTCAAGCCACCAGCTGCATTAGCCCCTTACCAAGAGAGTCAGGCTGTTCTCTGAAGCTTTGAACCTAGGCACTGACTTACCTTCTCTAGCTATGGAAGTCTTAGACGGCATCTTCTTCCAATAGAAGGTTGTTGTGACTATGCTGAAAATCTACTGTTTAGTGTAGCCACCTTAATTAATTATATTAACTAGATATTCTGGATAATTAAATACAGCTTCTACATCAGCACTTGCTGCTTCCTGTTGTACTTTTATGTTATGTAGACAGCTTCTTTCCTTCAATCTCACAAACCAACCTCTGCAAGGTTCAAACTTTTCTTCTGAAGCTTCCTTACCTCTCTCAGCCTTCACAGAATCAAAGAGAGGGCATTGCTCTGGATTAGGCTTTGGCTTAAGGGAATTTTGTGGCTGGCATATCTTCTATTCAGACTACTAAAACTTTCTCCATATCAGCAATAATGCTCTTTCACTTTCTTATCATTCATATATTCACTGGAGTAGCACTTTTAATTACCTTCAAGAAATTTTCCTTTGAATGCACAACTTGGCTAACTGGTGTAGGAGGCCTATCTCTCAGCCTGTCTTGGCTTTCAACACGCCTTCTTCACTAAGCTTAATCATTTCTAGCTTTTGATTTAAAGTGAGAGACGTGCAACACTTCCTTTCACTTGAACACAGAGGCCACTGTAGGTTATTAACTGGCCTAATTTCAATACTGTTTGTCTCATGGAATATGGAGGGCCAAGGAGAGGGAAATTTCTT